TATTTAATTTTTCAAATATTTAAATAATTTTTCTTTTAATTAATATATTTACTATCTCTATTATTTCTACTTAGGCTAAAATTTATTTAACAAACAAAGATGAATTTCAAGTATTATATGGAATATCACAATATCCAGATACAGGAGATTATATTTTTGTTCAAAATAATTCTACAAACTTGGTAAATCAGATTAGCAAAAATGATAAAATTAATGATTTCATTCAAGAAAGAAAATTAAAAATAAATGATTATGATGACATACAACTTGAATGGATACCATTTAATCAGTTTAATGAAATTAATGAGACAAGCAAAAATGAACTTATAACAATATATTCTGCAATATGGAAGGATGGTCCATTATGCCATAATGAACAGTATGAAGATTCTAGAGATCCAAATAAAGAAATTGCTTTAAAATGCTTAAATAATTCACAAGAATCCATTGATTCTTTAATAAATGAGGTATGAAATTTCTTTAAATATTAAGTATTGTTTTCTAATTAGATAGATTTACAATTTCTTCAATTTATACTTAGGCTAAAAAATATTCAACAGACAAAGATGCATATCATGTACTATACGGGATATCTCAAAATCCGGATACAGGAGATTATATCTTGGTTCAAAATAATTCTGTAAACTTGACAAATCAGATCAGTAAAAATGAAAAAATTTATAGTTTCATCCAAGAAAGGCAATTAAAAATTAATTACCATGATGATGTAGTGCTAGAATGGATACCATACAATCAGTTTAATGAAGTTAAAGAAACAGGCAAAAATGATCTTATAACAGTATATTCAGCAATATGGAAGGATGGTCCATTGTATTATCAATATGGTAATTATAAAAGAAATTCAAATAAAGAAGTTTCTTTAAAATGTTTACATAATTCACAAGAATCTATTGAATGTTTAATAAATGAGGTATGAAATTTATTCAAATATTTCAATATTATTTTTAATTAGTATGCTTACAATATATTTTGTTTAGGCTAAAAATTACCCAACAAAATATAAAGCATTTCAATTATTATATGGTATGTCTCAACATCCAGATTCAGGAGATTATATTTTAGTTCTCATCTGGACGAGTGGAAATGAAGAAATTGATAATTACATTCAAGAAAGGCAATTAAATATTAATAAATATGATGATATAGTACTAGAATGGATACCATACAATCAGTTTAATATAGTTAGAGAAATAGGGAAAAATGACCTCATAGCAATATGGAATGATGGCCCATTATATAAAAAGAGCATATGGGATAAAATTCATGCAAGAGATTCAGATAAGGAAGTTGCTTTAAAATGCTTATATAATATAAAAAATTCTGTTGTTTCTTTGATAAATGAGGTACAAAATTTTTTTAAATAACTGCTTTCTTCTATTAATATATTTACAATTTCTTCTATTATACTTATTAGGCTAGAAAATATCCATCAAAATATAAAGCATTTCAAGTATTGTATGGAATATCTCAAAATCCAGACACAGGAGATTATATCTTAGTTCAAAATAATTCTACAAATTTGGCAAATCAGATCAGTAAAAATGAAACAATTGATAATTTCATTCAAGAAGTGCAATTAAAAACTAATGACTATGAAGATAAAGTGCTTGAATGGATACCATATAATCAGTTTATTGAAATTAAAGAGATAGGTAGAAATGGCCTCATAACAGTATATTCATCAATATGGAAGGATGGTCCATTATTTTATAATGAACTATGTAAAAATTATACTAGGAACTTAAATAAAAAAGTAGCTTTAAAGCATTTAAATAATTCACAAAAATCTATTAATTCTTTAATAAATGAGGTATGATATTTCTATAAATATTAAGTATTTTTTTTTTTAATGAGTATATTTACAATCACTTTAATCAATACTTAGGCCACAAGGTATCTGACAGATAAAGATGTATTTCAAGTATTGTATGGAATATCTCAAAACCCGGATACAGAAGATTTTATTTTGGTTCTAAGTAATTATATATGGATAAGTAAAAATGAAAAAATTGATGATTTTATTCAAGAATGGCAACTAAAAATTGATGATTACGATGGTATAGTAGTGCTTGAGTGGATACCATACAATCAGTTTAATGAAGTTAAAGAAACGGGAAAAAATGAACTTATAACAGTATATTCAGCAATATGGAAGGATGGTCCATTGCATTACCAGTATGGTGAATACACAAGAAATTCAAATAAAGAAGTTACTTTAAAATGTTTACATAATTCACAAGAATCTATTGAATGTTTAATAAATGAGGTATAAATTTCTTTAAATGTTTAAACACTTTTTTAAAATTTATTATATACAATCTCTTTAATATAATTAGGCTAAAAAATATCCAATAAAATATGAAGCATTTCAGGTATTGTATGGAATATCCCAAAATTCGGATACAGGAGATTATATTTTGGTACAAAATAATTCTATAAACTTGGCAAATCAAATCAGTAAAAATGTGAAAATTTATGATTTCATTCTTGAAAGGCAATTGAAAATTAATGATGATTATGATATAGTACTAGAATGGATACCATACAATCAGTTTAATGAAATTATAGAAACAGGTAAAAATGAATTTATAACAATATGTTCAGCAATATGGAAGGACGGTCCTTTACATTATCATTATGGTGAATATAAAAGAAATTTAAATAAAAAAGTTACATTAAAATGTTTGCATAACTCACAAGAATCCATTAATACTTTAATAAAAAAGGTAAGTAAATTCTATAAATGTACGTTAAAGTAACTTTTTTTAGTTAGTACATTTATAATTTCTTTTATTTATATTTAGGCTGAAAGATATTTAGCAGACAAAAATGCATTTCAAGTATTGTATGGAATATCTCAAAATCCAGATACAGGAGATTATATTTTGGTTCAAAATGATAATACAAATTTATTATCATGTCAAATCAGTAGAAATGAAAAAATTGATGATTTCATTCAAGAAAGGCAATTAAAAATTAATGATCATGATGATATAGTTCTTGAATGGATACCATACAGTCAGTTTAATGAAATTATAGAAACAAGCAAAAATGAACTTATAACAGTTTATTCAGCAATATGGAAGGATGGTCCATTGCATAACCAGTATGGTGAATACACTAGAAACTCAAATAAAAAGGTTAATTTGAAATGTTTACACTATTCACAAGAATCTATTTATTCTTTAATTACTGAGGTATGAAATTATTTTAAATATTTAAATATTTTTCTTAAATAATATATTTACAATTCCACTTATTTCCTTATTTATATTTAGGCTAAAAAATATCCTACAAAACATAATGCATTTCAAGCATTATATGGGATATCTCAAAATCCAGATACAGGAGATTATTTTTTAGTTCTTATCTGGACAAGTGGAAATGAAAAAATTGATAATTTCATTCAAGAAATGCAATCAAAAATTAATGATCATGATGATATTGTATTTGAATGGATACCATACAATCAGTTTAATGAAATAAAAAAAACAGGCCAAAATGGCCTTATAACAGTATATTCAGCAATATGGATGGATGGTCCATTATGTAAAATGAGTATATGGGATAAAAATTATGCAAGAGATTTTAATAAAGAAGTTGCTTTAAAATGTTTACATAATTCACAAAAATCCATTGATTCTTTAATAAATGAGGTATGAAATTTTTTTAAAAATATTTTTTTGACAAATACATTTATAACAATTTTTATTTATATTCAGACTAAAAAATATTCAACAAAACTTAAAGCATTTCATATATTGTTTGGAATATCTCAAAATCCAGATACAAGAGATTATATTTTGGTCCAAAATAATTCTATAAACTTGGCAAATTGGATTAGTGGAAATGAAAAAATTGAAAATTTTATTCAAGAAAGGCAATTAAAAATTAGTGAGCATGATGATAGAGTGTTTGAGTGGATACCATATAATCAGTTTAATGAAATTAAAGAGACAGACAAAAATGGTCTTATAACAGTATATTCAGCAATATGGAAGGATGGTCCATTTTACAAAAAATATAGTCTTGAAGATTATACAAGAAATTCAAATAAAGAAGTTGTATTAAAATGTTTACATAATTCTCAAAAATCCATTGATTCTTTAATAAATGAGGTATGAAATTTTTATCAATATTATTAGGTACCTTTTTTAAATTATTATTATTAACAATTTCTTTTATTTATATTTAGGTTAAAAAATACCCAACAAAGCATAAAGCATTTCAAGTATTATATGGAATAACTCAAAAACTTGATACAGGAGAATATATTTTGGTTCAAAATAATTCTATAAACTTGGTAAATTGGATTAGTGGAAATGAAAAAATTGATAATTTCATTCATAAAATGCAATTAAAAGTAAATAATTATAATGATATAATATTTGAGTGGATATCATACAGTCAATTTAATAACATTAAAGAAATAGGTAAAGGTGGCTTTTCTACAGTATATTCAGCAGAATGGAAGAATGGTCCACTAGTATATAATTTGGATAAAAATTTATACAGTAGGGATCCAAATAGAATAATTGCCCTGAAATGTTTAAAAAATTTCCAAAATATAACTGATAAATTTTTAAATGAGGTATGAAATTCCATTTGTAATAGAGAATTTTATAAATATGACAAGTAGTCAAATATAATATATTAAACATTATCTATATTAATAGGTTAAAGAATACTCAATAAACAAGAGAAGTAATGTTCTTAATATATATGGAATATCCCAAAACCCAGATACAAAAGAATATATTATGGTACTCCAATATGCAAGAGATGGTAATTTTAACCATTGGATAAATGAAAATTATAAGTATTTTAGTTGGGAAGATAAGTTATCCACATTGCTTAATATTATTAATGGTCTTAATGAAATTCATCAGAAAAATCTAGTTCATCGTGATTTTCACACAGGAAATATATTATTTTTAAGCATTATAAATGATTTTAGTAATTGTGTATCAATTTCAGACATGGGATTATGTGGAGAGGTTGGTAATATAGATGAAACTAAAATTTATGGAGTCATGCCATATGTGGCTCCTGAAGTATTAAGAAGGAAGCCTTATACTCAAACATCAGATATCTATAGTTTTGGTATGATAATGTATTTTGTAGCAACTGGAAGACAACCTTTTGACAATCGTGCACATGATTGTAGTTTAGCATTAGATATTTGCAAGGGAATTAGACCTGAAATAAATGAGCCAGAAGCACCAAGATGTTATATTGACTTAATGAAAAAGTGTTGGGATTTAAACCTAAACAATAGACCAAATATTCTTGAAATAAATGAATTGGTCCTGACATTTTATAAGTCATGTGGAGGGAATTTCTTCATAGTAAAAAATAAAGAAATTGAAATGCAATTCAAGAAAGCAGAAGAATATAGAAGAGCAAATCTTTCATCAATTGAAAATTACCAAATAGTTACCCATCCACAAGCTATTTACACATCTCGATTACTTAACCCTTTTACAGAAAATCTTCCAAAATATGATAATGATGATGATAATTCTCAATGTTTAGATCATGCAATCTAATTCCAGCATAGTGAAGTTTCTTATTTACATTTGCAAATTATTTTATGGTCCTATCACATTAGTTAATATCTGCTGAAATTTTGCTAATTTTGGTTTGAAAATATTTAATTTATCAAAAACAAATTATTATTATGTAACTTTTGTAATAAGTAACCCTTTGGTTTAATAATTTATAATTGATTTATTAACTCTTGATCATATTTGAATCTTTGCTAATTAGTGATGAATAATATTCCAGTTTATTTATGTAACATTTATTTTAAAAATAGATTAAATCTTTTATGAGTATATTTTATCTAATTACATTATTTTATTAATAAAATTATCAATCCAAATTATCTAAATTATTGTATATTTGTGCAGCTGCCACAAAAATACGGCATAAAGAGGGCAAGAAATGCATTCCCTACTATAAAAAAAATTCTGCCAATAAATGATCATTTTTTTATTTTTTATTCCGAAAAAACTCAAACACATGATCTTTTTTCTGAAAAATTTTTTATAGGGATTACATAAAGAAGAGAAAGAAGTTGTAAAGAAGATGCATGATGAGTGAGAGTTAAAAAAAAAAAATAAAAAGTAATAAATTACATAGTAATACTTTAGCTCAGATAGTTTTAGTGTTTATATTTGCATAATACATGATGATAGTAATTAATTTCAAGTATTATGGCAAAAATTTTATAATACATTAAACAATTATATAACAAATACTATATTTAACCATTATTAAGCACCCTCTCCTCAAAATTAAGCACCCACGTTTAGTATTATAGCCAAAAATAAGCATCTTTTGATAATATCTCAGTCAATATTCATTCAAAATTATGAAATCATATCATTGGATTCATCTCATCCAATGAATTAAATTTTATCTTACCATACCTATTAGATCATGAGAAATCATACCGACATTAAAATTATCATATTTGAAATTAAGTTTAATAACAGTGAAATATGGTACTAATTTAAAAAAAAATATTTAAGAAATATATGTAGTAATAATAAAAAATAAAAATATTTTAAATACAAGAATAAATATATAGCAAACACCGGTTATGTCATATAACATGTTAAAAAATTATATGGCTGCACAAATGTTTTAAAGTTTTCTCTTAGTAAGCTTTTTATTCTTTAGGTTTCTAACTACTTTGTTTCAACCTTTTATTTGATAAAACAATACTTATTTGAAAAGTTTCTATTAGGGTAACTCTTCCTATTTTTTTTTTGACTTCAACCCAGAGATGCAAATTTGTATGAAAGCTAAATTTTATTTTAATACTTAATTGCCGAACCGTCTAAAATCGGCACTGGGGTTAATAAACGGTTAAATTTAAGCAAAAATTGAGAAAACTACATAATACTAGAGAAGGGAAACAAGGGAATAACCCATTATATTTAATACACAATTCAAAAAAATTAATGTATACGGAATGTACGGAATTTTTAAACTTATTTTATTCATCATAACACGTGATCATGTGATTGTTTATTGATTTTGTTTATTCATACATAATGGTGTAGTTAGCCGAAAAATTCAGCCGAAGGCGCAGTAAATTTTCGGCTAACAACACCCAGCCGAAAAAAATTCATGTTGATCTTGAATATTTTATTGGTCGGCTGAATATTTTCGGCTAAATACACTTTTTTTAAATAATAGTGTATGTAAAAAAAACTCAAGGAAAAATTACATGTTAAAATAATTGTAACTTTACTATGAAAAAATGACTTTACATTGTACGTGCGTCAGATTTCACTCGCTATATGTATTTTATATATACGATAGTGCCATTCTTAGACAGATCGGCAATTAATATATGTAATTTTTTACAAGGAATCGAATTAATTAGTGGTGAAAAAGCTGTCTAGATAGTAAAATTTTTAATAAATCCATGATTTTTGTTTTTTCACTTAGTTTGTCTATATTAACACTGCAAAAATCACAAGTATAAGTTTAATTTGATGTAAATTACAACACTATAATCAAATAATAAATAAAGTATTTTTGCAAAAGTTGTCTCTAATAAAAATTATTCAATATTTGTCCAATTTTAATAAAAATTAATGCATAAAAGCTTCAAAGTATTTTGAATTTATGTGTAAAATTTCATTACATACTATTATGTAGAATGCTTCAAACAAAGTAAAATTTACTGTTACACAAAATATATCAATCATTTAATAGTAAAAAGTCCCCATACCGAACCGTGACAAGTTTCACACTGTCTGCCACCTGGTGGAACAACAATAACACGAAGTAACTCATTACATTGCTTTAAATATCTCTTAATTTCTTTTATTAACTTATGATTTTATTATCTTTATTAAACTTAAACTTTACAAACAAAATCCAAGACATGTATTCAGTTCATACTTTCATTTATTTATCATTTTAATAACATTTATTAAATCTCAGACAAACTATGAGCATACTTTATGTAACTTTTAATAATTAATATTTTTATTTGCTGGACAAAGGTTAAAAGCCCTTGTATTTATGTATTTCGAAATAATAACTATTCCTAAATCCTTTTTATCTACAATTCCTTTATGATATAATATTTGTAATGACAAACTATGAATAATAATTACTCATAACTAAAGACAATGAAAAGCCATATATTCTTCAAACTACCGCACTTATCATACCACATGATTAATAAAATAACTATCTAAATGTAACTATATCAATATATAAACTATAAATGTAACAATTATAAAAAATTAAAATATAAATAGCTAAATAGATTTCATCATACTAATATGTGCTATATTATCCTCCGCAAGAAAATTTGAGTACCATCAAATTCAAACTTTCAAAATTATTCCTATCAAATTATTTTGATTGGTAATTTTCAACCAATTAAAAAGAAATGAAAAATTAACTAGATGATTGGTAAGATGCAAAAGTAAATATAAAATTAACAAAAATAATTTTAACTAAAAAAATAAAAATAGAGGTAAAATAAAATACGTTATAAATTAAATAAAAAATTCTGAGTAGACCATATATTTGGATATTACGATGTGAAGAAATGAATATTTGGGAAGAAGTAAAGGTATTACACAACAAATGAAACGATCGAGTAAAATAGATCGTACTTTGATTCCATCTCGTATTAGTCAACGTGTCAAAGATCGTTTTGTATTTGATACCATGTAACGATGGTTAGGATATAGTGAGGCTCAGAACAAACGTGTAATTAATGTTTGGACATCAGTAGAGTTGTCAGATCTATGGAATTATAATAATATTTCTGTATTTAGAGAAACTAATTATTCTAGGAATTTTTCTTTGAATGATTTGCCCCTGTAAAAAATCTGATCCGTGTTTTATCTTTCCATGCTTTTTCCGTAAATGTATCATTTTCATGGAAATTTTCATCTCGCTAACACGGATATCCGTGAATGTACCATTTTCACGGAATTTTTACGGAAGACACGGATAAATAATGGAAATATTCGGATAAAAATTTTTTATAGGGTTGTAGTCTAGTTAAAGAGATTATTTTAGTATATAGGTTACTTTATTGATCAGATGTTTTGCGTCTATATTATATTAAATTAGATTTGTATCAAATTTATTACAATACTAATACAGTAATAAAGAGAGGTTAACCGTACAACACGTGATTATTAATGTGATTTGTGATCTTTCGCATTGGCGTTTCGATCAAATAATTTAAAGAAATACCGATAAAAATACAAAAATCAATAAGTTATATGTAAATATGTCTCAAATAATAATAACTGTTATGGTTCCGGTGCGATAAAATTTGTACCATCTATTATTCTATTTTTATCACAAAATTTCAGTGACGTGACGCTGGAGTGCGCGGTCAACTATGTAAATCAAAAGTATATAAGTTACCTAATATTTTACATAGTTAATATTTTTAGAGTTTAAGTTTGATAAACGAAATTTTCATAATAAATTACTATAAAAAATGGCCCATTTTTTTTGCACAGATCGAACAACTTCTTTCTCAAATATTTTGACACTTATTAGTTTCTCCAAACCATATTTACAAAAGTTACGAAGCCTTTTTTTTACATTAACTAGTAAGTTATTTTGCAATTTGAACTTTAAGTAGTTTGTCTATCTTGAGGCCTAATTTTTTTAGGAATTTTATTATTAATACAAGAAATGGCCTCGTAACTTTGTTAATAAAATCATATCCTTAATCTTTATATGCTTTTTTTCTCAAAATGCAGAATCGTTAAAGCTGCACATCGAATTGAACATGAAATATAAATATATATAATGAGTAGTCAAAATAATGTCATATTAATGCTTTACTAAATTAAAATAAATTGCATTATCATTATTACATTATAGAAATTAATTGATATTATCATCATTATATTAATTTGTATATATTTGAATTATTGTAATATTAAAATTTTAACTTATATATATTGTCATTATTAATAATTTTTTTTATATAACTTGACATACTTTTGATTTACATGGTTGACCGCGCACCCCAGCGTGACGCGTGCGGACAAACGGACTTCGTCACGTAATACAATATGATTAACATTCATAAACATACAGTATATAGTCCTTCACTTCGCTCTGGACAATTACAAAATGAATTTATTATGGAAGTATACTAAGTAAATTATATATCAATTTTTCGTTAAGAGTAAAATCTTCCTTTAAAAATGAAATAAACTTTCTTTAAACACTAAATTAATTAAAAAAACCTTATTGAAGTTAAAATTACTAGATATTATATAGAATATAAATTTATCAAAAAGATGTATTTCATAACACCAAAGACTCAAAATAAAATTTCCATAATATTAGAATCGCTTAGAAATCATTTGAGTGAAATACAGAAAAAAAATATTTAAGTACTCTAGGACATGCAGCTTAATAAAAGTTAATTTTATATCGTATTATTTCTTATATATCGCACTATTTTTTTATACTTGATACTAATTCAGAATAACAATAAATGGTTTATTTTTAAATAGACTCTTCATTTTCTTTT